TACAACATGGTTGGATCCAATGGTCACTTCCCAATAATGCAACATATCGAGTTGGAGAGAAATTTCGAGCTTCTGTGCCATTACACTTGGCATCAAAATTGAATTATTTGGTTTGAATCCACAATTTACACTGGTATTAGAGGTCCAGGAAATGCCTTGGATTGGCTCAATTAGAAAGTTCTCTGATATGCATCTCATTCTACTTGTCCTTTTTACTCATTTAATCCTTTCGTTCAATTTAGAATAACGCTATAGAATTTTTTGATTGTCGAACTTGGAATTCTCGTCCATTGACTTAATTGCGTCTGTTTGTAAAATACAAGAAAAAATATTTCGTAATACAGATAGTGACATGCATAACAATATTGAGATGTGAAATGAGACTTGATATCATGAAAAAAGCTGCAATAAAAAAGAGTCAAAGCGCTTACAAATTAAGGTTGTGTGCCAAGATGAAATGGTTATAGAAGCCGGTCGTGTTCGTGACGACGGCGAAATAATATTTAAAACTACAGATGCCATGGTACCCTATTGCGCACTGTACGTATTTAGCGCAAGTGGAACGGTACAAATAGATATGATTCTGTTTTTTGTTGAACTATCTTGCAAGGTTTGATATTTCAAAAGAATAATGAAGAAAATTTTCTGTCTTAGTTTAGTGCTATATTTGAGCTTTTGTGAGAAATTTTTGAAGTGATGGAATTTCACAATTTATCCTTTTTTCTGGGATTAACCAGCTTTCCGTCTCTTCGTCTTTACTTTAATTTTGAGAATTTTAGAATTCATTAACAGTTTCCAAAACACTAGTTGGAGTAGGTGATAATTTGACGGTAACAATAAATGGTGGTTCCAATGGTCTCGCCTTGTTATCAGCGATCGACATACGAATGCTTGAACTCATGCAGGTTATTCTATCAAATTTTACTAAGATTCAGTAAGTGCTGAAAATTTTTTAACCAAAAAAATGTTCATTATTGCAGAAATATTCATCATATCCAATATCCAAATACTGGAATTTATCAGTGATGGAGCGCTCTTTACGAACATTATTTCTTGGCCTCATTGATTCCGAGAATTTAAACAACGAAATTAGTAAAAATTCAAAGTGCTTTCGAAATTCAATCAAATTGATGACGTATCTTTCATGGTGAACTGTAAATAATAAACTACATGGAGCACTTTTAGTTAATAGAAAGATCTTAAACTTTTTCTACAACCTGCTTAAATCGCCTTTTAATTAATTTTGAATTAAAATTTATCCTAGATGCATATAATCTTTTGTTGGGAGCATAGAAATGATAGGAAATATTGCAGGTGGAACATGTGAAGAAGCCGGTGTCCTCGCGTTACAACACTTGAAACGCTGTCCAAATTTTATGGAATCGTCATCAGCCATTTCCAATCTTTGCTTACGTTCTTTCATTTTAGCATGCGAACGCCTAACTGGCCAAACAAGTTTGTGAAAATAAAATATTCTTCTTGTTTCATACTTTAAATTGTTCTGAAATTGGTTTGATGAATTTTTTTACAAATTAAATTAATTAATTTGAGTTTTTATGCATAAATCGTACGACTGACTAGTTGATGAATTATGATTTAATTCTTATCATTTTTTTTCTTAATTGGACATATTTTAATATGAAATATATTTTATAAACTATTGATTGAAAAGTTACTTTCCTAGTGTAAAAACAAATTTGATCAACCAAGAGACGATCGTTTTAGCCACAAGCAAGGTATGCGATCGAAAAACTGGACATGGTTGTGGTATCGATAGAGATGGTAGTGCAGTGAAATTGGCTTCTGCTCAAGCGCATTTGATAAGCATAGGTTTCCTAAAACGCAATCAAACATCGCTGAATTATGCTACTCCTGCTTTATTCCGAAATAAAACAGATTTGAGACCCGCAATTCGACAATATTTTCCAGAAATTTGGCTTTTCGAAGACTATAATCTCGGGTTTCTGTTTTCTTTTTTTCTTATTTTGAAAAATTAAAAAATATCAACTGTCCTATTTTGGAAGAATTTTCGATAATCAAATAGCACAAATGTTTTACATTTGAAAATTGCATTAAATGTTTTTATAAGTAAATGCTATTCTATTTTTTCAAGAAAGATTGGTTTAAATTTTCAAATCTTCTTTTTTCTCAGAGAAGATTTACATCATGGTCTTCTGCTATCAAGAACGAATTGTTCTGACAAAGTCCATTTTGGATTTGAAATCCCAGAAATCCATTGTAAATTCTATTCCTATTTAATTTTGAAATGCTTTACTCAGTTGAATGCACAAGAACCATTTAAAATTTAGTACCAGTTTTGTTATTCTACATTCAGAGCCTCAGGTAGACTCAATCTAACGATTCGAGTGCCAGATACGGTAACTCAATGGTCTGTCCAGTCATCAGCATGGACACCAGGTGATCTTGCAGTTTGTCACAGTGCTCCATCGATTATAGCTACGCAAAAAAAACTCTACATGACAGTCGATCTTCCACAACATGTTTACATCAATGAATCCATTACTGCACGAGTTTCAGTTTTTACTGAACAAATAGAAAAGGACATGACGGTAAACTTTAAGAAAGAAGAAGAAAGATTTGCACACTTTAAGAAAATACATTTGAAACTTTCATTTATTATGAATTGGAATATTACAGTCATTGCACAACCTGATAACATAATCATATTTTGCTTCAAGAATAGTTATTTTTCAAATACCATAAATTATTTTAAAGCTTTCAATATGCATGGCAAAATTGGATCGACATGTATGCGGTGATGTAGGTGCACACGGTGAACGAGGTCAACCGGCCTATACTCGAATTCATCTTACAACAACATCTACCACTTCTTCTAGAATATTCACTCTAAGGTTTGTTTCCTTTTATTCCTACGATCTCTCTTTATTTTAACAATTACTTTTCATGTTGAATTAGTAGGTAAATAAATAAGTTAATTCATTCATTCGTTTGCATTTTGCTTACTTATATCGGTGTCATGCAAAAATCTTTTTTTATTTCAACCAATCTTTCTCTTTCTGCAACGGTTCATATTTAACAGATTTTTACGTCTTGGAGAAACAGAAATTATATTCAAATTGAAAGAGGAAATATCATATCCAGGAAAATATCATTGTGATGTAGGAAAGATATATGATGCTGTCAAGTTGAAAGTTATCGTCGCTGTAAGTTAATTGTAAATTAAAATTAAGTAGGAAAATTTAGATTCTATTTTTCTATAAATCGATCAACAATCATTTACCTATTTTACATTACTCTGTATGCTTTTTGAATTTTTATCGCAGCATAGGCAAATGAATAGGTTATTTTTAGAAGAGGGCGGAAACGACGGAGCATTTTAAACGATTAGTATTGAATCCACATAAACCGTTTAATCTTTTAACACATCCTGTTGATATGCATTATTTGGTAATGGAGAATGAAACAGAAAATGGGAAGAAAAATGTCATTGGTAAGCAAGAAACAATTCTATTGTTTATATGAGGATTGGATCTCATAGGAAAATGGAATTTTTCCAGTAATTAGATCTATCCAGTTTAACCTGAAGTGAGAGATAGAAGGAAAAGAAGAGAATCACTGATTCTTGAAATATGAGTGTTTAAATTTTATCAGTTTAAACTTGGTGAATATAATTTGTTTCATTGTTTTTATATATTCCTCAAGAAGTCACATCTTATTATGTGAATATTCAGTTTTGGTTAATTGTGGATTTTAGATTATAATGAATATCGATCAGAACAGGAGCCGCAGAAATTATTTACTAATATCAGTATCAATTTACCCGATGCTGAATCGGTCTATAGCATTACGATCGATTTGTCCCGTTTGTTTTGTTTATGATCATTTACTAGTTTCAATATCTTCAATATTCATTTCTGAAAATTTGAAAATTCGTTATCATTGTTTCCTTTTTTTAGAATTCTTATCAGAGACACTAGTAACGGACTCGATCATAAAAAATGAAATAAGTGCACGACCGATTTATCGCTGGAAAAGAAGTATTTTGGGCTACGAATCATTCCTTACTGATATTATCACTTCATTCGCTCCAACATTATATCATTTAAAATCATTAAATTCTCTTGAAAAAACCATTTATCGAAAATTTGAATCTTTAGACGATACTATTGGATCATGTAGGTTATTCACATTTTCAATAAAATGAAATATTAATTTTTAAATAGCTACTGCTGTATTACGACACTACTGCTTGTTAGAAGGAGCATGAAGTAGATAATTAGCAAGCTGTTAATTGCTTAATTAGAAATGAAAAGGATGAGTAGAAATTGCTAGTAGGTTAATTTTAATTAGATAGACACACACATACATATATACATAGTCATCTAAGCTGATCATCTAAGCCGATGGTGCTGTCTGTCTAAATTCCAGTAATATCTGCGATGTTGACATTCTCCAGCTGTCGTGGTGCTACTTTTCGATCTTGCGCTTTTTCCAATTATCGAAAGCCAAAACAGCCTCAGGATGAATCATTTTTGTATGTATTTTTCTTCATTGATACAAAATCTGATCATTTTTCGAGTGGTATTGGTGATATAAAACTTATCAAAATAAATGTAGCAATTCACGAATATTTTAGTTTGACAGCACTGTCTACATCATTGCTTTGTGAAGCTGCCGTTGATGAGCGCATTATCTGTCCATTGCTTAGTTATCTCTTAAATGAAATGGTGACAAATATGGATACTCAACCTGCGGTGGACTATTTTCTCGATCATATGGATTTTGTAAGCTACTCATGATTCACTTTTTTATTCTCCTTTTTTGTCAAATCTGTATTTAACTGATTGAAATCGAAATCAGCTTCTTTAATTTCTTTTCATCTTTACTCATTTTTTTTAACATGATTCAGTAAGGTAAAATTGATTCTTCCACAGTTTTTTTTTCACTTTCATTTTTTTGCACTTTGTTTTAGACATCATTGGAAGATAGATATTGGCTTGTTAAAGCAATGGTAAATCAGTTGGGTTCGGATTGTTTTGCATATCAATGTGCGGTAAATAGATTTGGGAATCTTCCATTTTTGTTTACATTCATTTTTAAGAAAATAATTAAATGTTTAATAAATTCAGAATAAAATTAACACTAAAAGTTGTCTGGATCCATATTTACAGCGTAATGATCGTGTTTGGATTAGTTTGCGAAAGAGTTTCTTCAATTTGCCAGATCATGCTGCATTAGATATACGTACTGTTGCTGCATTAGCATTCATGGCACCTCGATCTGTAAGCAATATCATGCGAATTAAACTGTACGCTATTGCCAAAGGTTCTTGATTACTTTATTTCGTGCTATTATCATAATCAATAAATCATAGAAATCAGTGGATTTCTTTAAGCAAACTGATGTATCTAATAGTGAGATAAATATATATTGATAATGAATTCATAGAAGCATGTTTAGATTTTTTCCATCTTAACTGATGCTATGAATAGAATTAATAGTTTTGTTTGAAATTAAAAGTTTCTAACACGTTCAATATGTACTACTGTAGATGGCATACTTCCGTACTGGAAAAGTGAAGGAATATCAAATACTGGCTCATTGCTGGCAAAACATCGATCCAGTGATCGTATGAAACATCGAATTTTCATGGTTATTCGCTATTCATCATTTGCGTAGCAAAAAATCTCTGAGCAATATTTCGTATTATTTGGAATTCCCTTCGAAGTTTTTTTAAGTTGCAGAAAATATTTAGTAATTTATTTAAATTATTTTGATGCTATATACGTTGAGAGTATAAAGATTTGGACGACTTCAAAAGTTAATTAGAGCACTGTGGAATATATAGTCGTAATAAGGCAGGAGATGTTGAGAAGAGCAATATTTGCTCAAAAAGTTTTTAAGGTGTCATGGTGGTTTAGCCACATTTGAAATTTTGAATACGGCTGAAGTTTTAATTTATTCAATCTTTTTTACATCTTGAGAGTGATGATTTACTGATCAATTCGCTGGGTTTGTTGGCATTTATAAGTCGTAGAGTGGACCCGATGTTTCCATTAATTGAACTCGATTTGTTGGCTGATTGGATCTATGAACAGCTGAACGAAAATGGGCAAACTCCGTCTCCATTGGTTTGCATTTTTAATTTAATCCAAGTAAGAGGATGTAAAACAAATTTTCTATACTTCCAAGTTTCAGGATTCATACTTTGCAAATCGTGCAATTTATGAATATCGAATGCATAAAAGGGATCAACATGATAGTAATGGTGATCGAGTAACAGTTATCTGTAAACAATGCAAACTGATTGTGCACAATGTAACGAGTGCACCGGCCGTTTTTTACGTAAGTATAATAAAGTAAAATATTTTTAAATCATTTTCACCTGTGCATTGTACACTTGTTAATTATTACTGTTGTAGAACATTTTCGTAACATAATATTACATTTATATGTTAGCTGCCTTGCAATTTTTTTTCAAATTCTTGTCCTTTTAATTTTAGCTGTTCATGTATTTTAGGCACCATTTTTTACTTCTAATTTAAGTCTCTTATTTTTAATTTCTCGTAGACAATTCTTCAGCTTCATAAAAATCTTAGCGTACATTACATCTATCAGCTTTAGATAGAAGTTATTATTACTCTCCAAACATATCACAAAGATAGGGAGATTACGAAGTTTTTAATTTTTCATTTATTTTATGACTGTAATATGCTATATAAACAATGCTTTACTATGTTTACTTTTCTATAATTGTCATGTCTACTACTATCAATCAGTTATTTATAAAACATTGGGCAAATTTGTGAAATTGAAATACAATAATAAGTAAATTTTTATAGTTGCCAGTAACAGTGCGTAATATAACATTGGTAACGGAAGGAGACGCAAAAGTTCGAACAGGAATCCGAGTTACAACTACAAAAAGAATGCGATTGCGCCGTGGTTTAGAGCAGAACGATTTGTATCCCACCAAAGTCACCGTGGAACAATATGTAGTTAGTCCGGAAATCATTCGACAAGAAGTTTGTTTAAAGTGAGTGCATCTTAAATGAAGAACTGATTTCAGATATCTATTTCAGACTTTGAGGAAATTCATTAAAAGTTGTTGTAAAAAGACATTTTTAATCCTAGAAGAAAGAAATCGCATTAATAATTTTGTTTATTTCGGTAAGATAGTTAATGAAAAAACCCCAACAATCAGGTATAATTGTTTCTAGAATTCTGACATCACTGATTGAATCATTGGAAGTAACGCATGGTCTTTTTACCGGTTTCACTTCCGAAGACAGTTTGTTCCGGATTCTCCAGGCAAGCACGATTTTCAACTCAAAGTATACTTGATTGCGAAGAAATCAATCTCATTAAGTTGCTTATTGGTTTGATGGAATTAACGACAATATGATTATTAGCAAAATTTGAATAGTTCAATCCATCAATCAGCTCTATAAATCCTGAGAAATGGAAGTTGAACTCAAAATTCAAATTCTATAAAGAATTCAAAAAAATATATCAAATTCAATGTAATTTTTCTACTGATCGATTACAGAACACAACAGTACATGGAGTACGTCTATTGGATAGTGTTGCAATTAGCAATTACGCTGTACACTTTGTCCTCACTGATGTAAATTTTTAAAGAAATTTTTCCTCTTGCAAATTTCTGCAATATTTTTTAATGTCTTCTCATTAAATGTGCGAAAAGTCTCAGCACCTCAAAATCACAATTTATTGAAATTTCACTAATCCTAGCTGAAACCGAGAATTCCGCTTTGTTATGAACTAGGGATAAAGGAGCCAAGAAACACATATGAGCCAAATCAATTGGCTCCAGTTGCAGTTACTGTTCGGCATCCTCTTTATGGTTAGTATTAGCTCTTTCAAGCAATTTTTTTTTGTCAAAAAGCGATTCCACGACACAAATGTCTAGTTCGATTTGTTCACAACATTCTCTCTAAGCCATATCGTTTCATTTCACCTTTTAAGCTTAAGATATTCGTGAAGCTTTTAGAATGTCTTATGTTTTGATGGAAAATAGTTTCATAATTCTATTAATTCATAAAGTATCATAGAGTAATAGAAAGTTTTGCAAAAACTTTTAACAATCAGAAAATAAAATGATTAATTGAAAACTAATTTTGTAGATATAGCCGGTGAAGAGTTAGTTACTTATACGGAAAGATTCAAGCGGTCATTGCTTGAAGAAACCATCGATATGGTATGTTGGGATGGGAGTTGTTCATGTGCTGAGGCCAGCTGTACAGTTCGGTGCTCACAATGTCGAAGTATTACAAAAGAGCATTTGCAATATGAATTATGCTCAGAAAACATGTTTGGTTCGTCTAGTTTCTCTTTCTAAAGCAAGCTTTTCACTTACTTGTGCTCTTTGGCGTATGACATATCGAATTAGAAGGTTAGTTTGAACTGATAAATCTAATCTGTATTAGAATGAATTAATTAAATGTTGCAGGAGCAACAGTGGAAGTAGAAAGCAGTCGGATTGAAAACCTGAGTGATTCGAGGTATTTCATTATCGAAGTATCACTAAAGCACTGGAAGCAAAACAATGTGAAGACAGCACTGCAGAAACCTGGTAATATTGTTTGAATCTAATCTATGTATACTGAAACTAGTATTCATTTAAATTGCTTTAAAAAAAACGGTTTAGGTTTTAAAATTCTTCTTTAACGTTTTTTTTCCTGCAGGTCTTAATTTTTGGAAATGCTTTTAACTTTTGATTAGAAAAATGCAAACTGATGCACTATTTATTCAGGAAAAGAACCAAAATTTTAGATTGGTTTGGCTATTTAATATATAAAGAGTAAAATGCAAAAATTTTTATTGGAATTCATATTTAGACTTCATTGTGAGTTTAAGAACGTTAAAGAGAGAACAACAAAGTTCACTGCGTTATACATAAGAAATTGAGGTCAGTTTAATTCGAATTAAATGTAAAATTTACCCTAAATTAAAAAAATATCAATGTTTACATCCATTTTGCAGATCGAATTGAGGTATGGTTGAGAACATGTAACACTCGTTGTGTGGAACCTAGAATTGGAGAAGTTTACTATTTTAGTGGCAATATTAATGGAATTGTGGTGGACTTTAATACTAGGTATCCTTTTTTCTTATCATTTTATTATTTGTTAAACCACCTTAGGTTTTAAATCTTAGATAAAATCTCGTATGCATATCGAGACCTTTTGAAGGATGCATTACGTACTACGAGATGACGATCGATGGGAGTTGGCCAGTGAAGATTGTGGGCATTTGTTTAGTTATCTAATTACCAGCGGACCATGTTTTCCTTGATTAAATTTAATGCTCAATTAAGATTCTTGTGAAATTTCCTCGTTTTCTTTTTATCGCCGAGCGTTTTTTTTTTAAAGGCTTTTAAAAGTTTAAAAAGTTGTTAAAGAGTCCTTCCAGTCCCAATAGACCCGAAAGCTCAAAAATGAATCAAAATATTTATAGGGAGGGAGCAAAAATATGAATTTCCTTAAATAAAGCTCATTTTTGCAGAACAACTTGTATCATTCAAATTTATCACTGATTTTATAGCTACAGTTTTGGCGAATGTGGTACACTAATGAAAAACTATTCAATAAATGAATATGCAAAAATGGTTTCAACCGATTGTAAATTTTTGGAACTGAGACTGTTAATTCCTTTTAAAAGCCACTCCAAAAAATATTGAGGAAGGCAGGTCTATAAGTGGCATTTATGATCCTTTCCATTATAAAATGTTCGATAACATAGGATAATTGCAGAAGAAGTAAATAAATGAATAAACCTGAAAGGTAAACAAAGAAATAAGTTAGTAATAATATAAGCGCTGAAATGAGAAATAATTTAAGGAAACAAGCAGATTTGAAAATTATATCGGGTCATTATTTTGAAGCTGTTGTAATTCCACGAGTGTTAATCTATTTTGTACAAAGGCACTATTGAAATGTGTATTGTGGACATATATCTTCATGAACCATGAATAGATAATTCAGTCAGAAAAGACCAAGACGCAACAAAAAGCATAAAAACATAGAATTTGAGTTAAACAAAAATTTATCGGAATAACAAAGCGTCCTGATTTAATCTCATTTATTTTTGATGAGGAATTTCAGCACTCACTTTGAAATAACATTAAAAAAAACAATTTCTAAATAACGTAAATGGTCTGTGAATGGTCTACATTACGGGGATAACAAAATTTCAATTTTCTTAAATTTTATCCAGGACTAAATCTCCAAGAAAAAGTCAAATATCTTTGTCATTATGTCAAAAAGTTATTAACAATGTTTTGAATTAATGGTAGGTGATCCTGATAGAGATCGATAAATGCTAAGTTCATTTTGCATTTCAAAATGCCTTGACATATATTTTGGTGCGCAGGCAAGGTAATTAGCAAGTGATGCTGCCAGAAATGGTAAATCGATAAAGTCATTCTTTGCTTAATGATTTTGTATATTTGGTTACACCGGATAATATTAAGAATGGACCTACTAAATGAATAGATTTTACTAGCTATTTTGACAAATAAAAATTAACATGACACAAGTGATTTGTGGTGTCCGAGAATTAGCAAATTCTCTTCAACGTATTCAAGATATTTCGTCCCAGCATGCTATTGTTGTAGTGCATCTCGGTGCTTCACTTTATAAAGTGTCAACTTGACGCAGTCACTAAACAAATCTCGGTTGACGCCCGCATATCGCGCAGCCAAATGACCGGTTTCAATCTGTAATTCAATTTTATTTCAAGTTGCTCTGATGTAAGTTCAACTCATTTTTTGATCAAACATAATATCTCAATCTAAATTTGATTTCGCCAAACTTTCAATTCCTGCTATAGTTAATTTCGAAAAACTATTGAAAAATATTCCCTCACTGCTATATTTATTAATCTTGTCTTGCTATTATTGGTGAATAATTAATTTGATAAAATCAAAAATATAATACCAGGAATTCAAGCCTGAATTTTACAGTCATTTGTTTTCACGATCTTAATTCCCTTAATTGGATAAGAAAAACTCAAGAGTTATAATGAACTGGAATATAACTTTATTCGATAATAACAGTGATAATTTCACTGCATCCAGTATTTTAAGTTGTATTTTGTAAAAGCAAACATGAACTGCTTTGGAAAGGTAAGAAGATTTTTCTGGTAAAGAAATGTGCAGAAACAAACGAAAGACAAAGACAGCGAAGGACGTGATGAACAATATACAACAAATTGAAGAAATTTGTTTTTTTTTGAATTTTTAGTTCCCATTAATAGATCTATAATGGAAGATTTGCTTACATCCCAGAGACAGATCCATAACGGCAGTTGAACAGACAATAAGTTTCGACCATGATTACTCTTGTTAAAACCAAAATTCTACATAGGATCACTTTGTTTTCTTATTTTGCAGAAGGCCCAACCACAACAGCTGAATTACTGGAAATGAAATAGTCTCAGATTCTCATTGTAGATTTCGATATAATTTGCAATACTTCTCTCGCTCAATTCTCTTCATTCCACGGTGACTTTCTTGTCTCCCTAACTTTGCGGAAAATTTAGCTTCTTGCACTTCAAAATTTTCGGAAAATCTCGAATTTATACGTGGTTTTTAGAAACACTGATAGTTCCTGACAACTCTAGTGCTAGCTGCCTGAAAATCTGAATTTGAGATAACATCATTAGCTAAGATATCATTCATTTGATAGTTCAAAGCTCATTTTTACTTTACTTACTTATATGTGGATAGGGAAAGTAAGTGCATCTTATTTTTAAGGAGACAATCTTTGACAAATTAAATCAAAAACCGTTTTGGCAACTCATAAAAGTTACATCTTTTCGAACTTGGCTTAATCTGCAGTATGACAGTTGAACGATATCGGATCATTATTAAAAGTTGAACTTGATGGCTCCCTTTATACCCTCTTCGTTCCAATGATAACAATATCAGCATCTATTTCCGTATCATTAATGATATTTTTGTCCTCTTTTTTTACAATATTATAATTTATTATAAAATACTTTATTTTCTTTATTTATTCGAACGGAAATTCTCGATATCTCATAGATTCTTAGAATGAGATTTTTGATTCTAAAAAAAAATATGTGAAGATGAAGAAACGAAAAAAAGTAACAAAAGAAGAGAAAAATGAAAGCAAGAGAAAAACGACTGCATCAGTATTACTACTGCTGATATTTCCTGCCTACTAGATGTCTTTCAAAGTCAATTAAAGTTTCTACGAAATCATTCTCTATTCGTCTTTTCTGTTATGAGATCGTTGTTATTATTAATTACATTATTTTTATCCCCAGTATTACTGACCGTACGATGATTACTACTATATTGTGATTGTCGCAATCAAAAAATGATTATCATTGCAATTGTAATAAATTATTTTTTGGCCAGCTTCATAATATTTTACAGACAATTTCATTCTAAATTTGTTTGTAATAGAATGCTCTTAAAATCTGCAGAACTATTTTTCAAGCAATTTTAGCTTTTTTGAGGATGTTGAAATAAAATATAATAAAAAGTGAAATAAAAAAATAACAACGATTACGACTTCAGTGACTATAGAAATAAAATTTCTCTATATTTTACAATAACAGGAACCATACGATTTTGAGCAAAACTAAAGTAAAGCTGATGAACGTGCATTGAATTCATGAAAAAATACACTTACTTTTTCAAGCCAATCGGATATGCAGAACGAAAGGACTAAATGATCAGTAACTGCTTCAATAGCAGGATTTGCTATGATTGCGGCACCAGGACGTACAGATTTGCGTAGAAATTCCCAACATTCTATCTGCAAATTCAAAAATCTTCAAAAATATTGGACACAATGAAAACGAGTAGTTGCATACGACAGTTTGGTATTATGTCGAATTTTAATTTTCAAACGCATAAACCGCCGCTTATTTTGCGCCACTATAAAAAACTATAAAATGGTATTTACTGATTAAACATGAAAATGAAAATTAAAGATGGCTCATGATATCGCGACAAGAAAAGAATTTACATAATTTTTGAATAAGAGATATTTCAAGATTACGTAGACTATTCACCTGATCAGCAAGTGGAAGAAAAAATGAAAACACATTGTGCAATACAATAACATCAGCAGTACCAACAACTTCAGCTTGTTTTCTAACATCATCATTGATAACCTGAAACAAAACTTCAAAAATTCAAGCAGAAAATACACGAATTAAATTTCGCCACTTCTACTTTTGTGATGTCCAATTACAATCTCAAGAGACACACAATCCATAAATATCTTCTTTTGTCTCACAAAAAAAATCAAATTACTACCATTTATTTTTGAAAAGGGCCAGCAGATAAGTACAACAAAAATTGGACAAACAATTCACTAATTCCTTTTAATAAAATCAAGGCCATTGTTTGCGTTATAATTCGATATGCTAATGCTCATACCGCATTTCATTACACGGCCAACACGTGTCGTGATACTGCGAATGGATGAACAACAGAAATAAAGCGATATACAAGAATTTGAATATAAAGCCACCACTAAGGAATCAAATTTGGAATTTTCCTGATTTTCAAACTAAAAAAATCAGTATTACAAAAATTCAATTACTCTGAGCACTTACTTTGATGTTTGCATCCATCCCATTAATTTCAATTATTTTTTTTTGCAATTCACAAAAATCTTTATTCATTTCAATACCAATAGCATTCACCAGTCCACTACTGAAAGTACACAAATTCTTCCAGAAATAAAATTTTCGACTTTTAATTACGTCCAAAACGATACTGGAAGAATTGAAGAAATAATGAAATTAAAAAGTGTAGTCCTCTCATAAAAGTCTTGTTTGGTATTAAAAAACTTATCATTATTACAAAGAACAAACCTGTAACTATAAGCAGCATATAATACAACGCCCAATCTAGAGCCAACATCAACAATTAACGTACCTTTCATATCCTCACTTAAAGGAACTAATACAGTGAATGCATACCGCAGCTATAAATTATACAAATAATTACTTTTCAAATGCCTATCTTTCTTGCCAAACTCCTGTTTCATCAAAATTTTGATGTTTTTCATCAATCTTTCCTATGGATTAAAGGACACTTTTAATTTTTTGTATGCTAAGTGCTTTTAAAAATCCATTAGTAAATATAGAATTCTACACAAATTGCAACGATGAATAATTAGAATGAATTCCATATATTCGAATTATTTGATTGCGGAACAAAAGCCAAAAGTAGAGAAGCATTAAGGCTCTAACAATATGCAACAATGTTCTACGAAATCCCAAGTTAAATATGTGGTACCTGATCAATACTTAGTGAGTGTGAAATAAATGTTAGGGGCATGATTTCCCTACAACCACACTGCGCACAGTACTCTCGGCTAAGCGTACCCTGATCCACCAATTCATCCACATCATCATCGTCGTATAAAAAAGCATCGACATGCACCTATATGCATTCCAAAACCATCATGAAACTATTATAATAAGATAAGCATTTTGCACTCAGCAGGAAAAAAACTTACCGTAGTATCACGAGCACAATCGGAATCTAAACCAATCTGAGGCCAACATACCGTTTCAGACGGTAATATTGCTGTTGTTGGCAACTGAAAAAAAAATTATGTACCGGATCTCAGAGCTAAGAACCATATTTCAAGTGAATGAAAATGGTAAATTCGCACTTTTCAAAAATGATATGAAAAGATTTCATGATCCAATACCTCGCTTCTAATATCCATTGCTATCTTTCGTAACAAAACGTCGCATTCTGAAGTGGATTCGCTCCTTCCCTCAAATTCAATATTGCCATTGTTTGGATGACCTAAAAGACTTTGAACACATCTACATCAAGTAATTTTATAAAAAAAAACATAAGTAGCTAGGTAGGTATACATTTGCCATCCGACACGACAAAGCTTTCATTGATCCAATTAAGAAATTCCGCTACGCTTTTCGGCTCCACACGATAAAGCAGATTTTGAAATTCCTCTTCTGCTTGTTCTATGTCCAGAAACATATTGAGATCCCAAAAAACCTGACTTGAAAACAAACTATTAGAGATATTTATTCCATTTTTGCAGATTAAGGCCATCGTGTTTTCAACATAACAACAAGTATTAGAAACATCCCAGTACAATAGCTACACATATCAAGTATCTTACCTAAAAGGTTGCTTCTTTTTCCAGTCATCCGTTTTAACCCAAAACCAACGCAACAAAGATAACACTGCTTCATCCTATTCGCGATGTGTTAATGCTCAATAATTAGTACACCCAAGTTCACTATTTCTTCAAACATCAAAATTTCGACATTGAAATTTTTGTAAAATTTACAAAATATTTCGCATAACTCGCAAAGAATGTGGGAAAAAAGTACTGAGCAAAGCACACTTCATTTGAATAACACATCAAAAAATGTCAATTTTTTATTTTACTCGCGCTAACGCATCAGAAACTCCAGGAAATTTTGCAATGTTCCAACACAAGAATATAGTTTATGCTCCAATGGTTTTTTTTCCATTGGAAGTGAATAACTTCGCAGGATTTCCAAGAAATTTAGGATTACCTTTCATTTATCTATCCTTGAAATTGTTCATAATATTTGAGAAATCATTAAAAAATTATACTGCTTTTATTATGCACAAGTACAGCTTACAAACGAATTTTTGCAAAAAACTGTTTCCGAAACTACCAACTATTTTTTATCAACTAAAATCAAAAACCTTTATACTTACGAGTGATTAAAAAAGAAACAAAAAGCACTGAATTTCAGAAAAATTGCATATATTAACACGTACAATTCAAGCAAACTAGGAATTAACAAGTTCTGGACAGATACATTTCGCCAGAGAACTGTTCTTGCTTTTTTTTAGATCAAATTCCCAGTTATGACTTATGTCTTTATACTTTCGTTTCCTTTCTCTTCTCTCGAGATTTTTTGAAATACATTATTTTTTCCATTCAAAATCAAGCGTATGAGCACTTTTTGAAGCAATAACGAAGCAATAGTGTTCAAGTAGCTGCGAAAGCAAGATCTTTTCGTCCAATAATTCCAGCTTTTCAATCCTGGGAACATGAATATAAATTGGCTTCAGTAATTCATAAATATCACGATGTCTCAATTTCAGTTTCAATAAAATCTAAGGAGTCTCACTGGCCAAATTTACAAATAGCACCTAATGTAAATGTAACCAGATGAAAAATTCATATGCTTTATATAAAGGATGTAACACGATGTGTTTAACCATCGTCAGGAAGATAGTAAAGTGAATGCTGTAAAAAAAATGAACTCCATTAACTCAAAAACCTTTTCACTTGCATATCCGGAATTTCTGTTCCATAAATTTCCCACATTGTTTTGACAACAACATTCTTCCAACCACTGTCCATAAAGCTAGAACAAAAAATTTCTATTAAAGTGGAATGCAAACAGCCAAAAAAGATAAGAACAAGACAACAAGAACACGAATTCTATGACCACGACAGTATCGTTTTTTATTATGCGTCATGAACCCATTTTGAATTACTAACCGTTTTTTCTGAGCATCTAAATTTTCACATGCATCAAGGCCTGGCAAAATTATACCACGTTCATGAAGGTTTGATACCATTATTTTGCCAAACGTATCGCCTATATTCACCTAAACTCAAAGAAATGAAAATTTTGGAATATTTTATCTATTCTTCCCTAAAAAAGTAAAATTCGAACATTAGCTTCTATTTGCAACAGTTAAAAATTGCATTTTTCAATGAATGTAGCAGCGATAGTCATGAATACGCAGTGTTGGTGATAATACTGACTAAACCTTTGATCATAAGTGTGGCTCAACAATAAAACCTATGAAATGGCTTATGAAAACGCGAAATTCTACGAAATTAAATGTAAATCTAAATTTTGGAAAGAAACAGAGTAAGAGAAGTAGACCTGTTCATAGTTCAGGAAAAAAGCATTATCGAACCATTTAGCAAATGCTGACAAAAGTACGTCACTCTGGCTTGTTCCCATGTACACCAAAACGCATTCTGCGATAAATAATGTAGGTGTTTTATAATTAAGGTGACAACTATCAAGCTTTTCCTTGACTTCATTTAATTGCCTCAAATCCGCACCAACCAAATGGTAGTCACCTGCATGGAGATCTGCATGTTCCACTTCCTTTGCTAAACAAATAACTTATTGAACAAATAATTTATTGAAACAGATTCACAGTAGCAAAAGATATCAATACTTCTTAATTTTCAACCGTTTATTGTCTCTAGATGAAAATTTTTGAAAATTTTAAAGTATGTTCTATGTCAACTGTTTGCACAGCATGAATTTAAACTTGTTTTTAAGTTTGATGTACTTTAAAAGTAACAATTACTTACGCTCCCTGGAAAACATAGAAATAAGATCAGGTGAGCCAGGCCTTCGCATTTGTCGAATCTTTTTCGCAGTGACAGAACTAAAATCCACTTCGACATACCGATGGAGATGTTTTCCCTCGCCTTTCAGCCGCCAATACAAAGTATCAAATCCCGCACCAAGATTAATGATTTGACATTTTTCAGGAGATGCCTAAAAAAGAATACGCTGAAGTAGGCAAGAAAAGGATACAGTTAAACGACAAAACAGTGAGGATTTTTTGCTACTTCGGAATCACTTCTTTTGTCTACTTCTTTTTCTTCGATTCTAGGGCCAAAGCTTAGTGCTAGAATATGCAACAAGCTGTTTAAAACAATACCATTTAATTATACCTTCAAAAATGCATCCACAACGGCCTTAACTGAGACAATCCTAGCCCAATAACCACGTGAAATTTCAGGATCACGACGAAGATTATATTCACTGCCCAATATAAATCGATGGATATATGGATCTTTGAAATAATTTAGCTGAAACTTTTTCATCAAAGTGTATGTCGTTTTAAGCGAAGCAACTAATGAATAGTGCAAAACAATGAGAAAATTCTTGCTTTATGAAGATCTTATAATTAAAGCTTTATTTAAAACTCCTAAGCCTCTTCATCTGATCAATGAACTTAACCAAATCAATCATGTAAGCTTGATTTCATTTTAGGAATGAATGGAATTGGCTCTAACGCAGTGATACTTCCAAAATTAGCATGTCTTCCCAAATTTCCAGAGAAAAAAGCAATTTCAAAAGTTTAGAGAAAATATGTAAGCTGACTTTCGATGCTATGTATTTGCATTCAGTAGCATCATCGTTTGTTTTCTGCACTGAGTAGTCATCTGAGACATACGCCAATCTTCGTCGAATATCAATTTCCGTCCCCAAATGACCACATCCAAGTTCTGCTCCCGGCTCCATCACTTGAGAAACAGTAGAATCCTTTCATTAAATGTACATTTATGAAGACAATTTACATAAAAACTAAAAACGAATTGCAACAGGTAATAGAATTGGAATTACTATAGCTGCAAACCCGTTATAATTGCAATTCCTAGATATGAAACCTTCCGGAAACATTATTCCCGCTGTATCCTATTAAAACAATACTATCATTAATGAACTTGATGATGAGTACTGATCACAAGCATGTGCCATTTGCATTTCACAAGCATCATAAGGAAGAGAACTAGACGCAAACATCTTACATGCTTTAAAAACAATTAACTCAATAAAGTTCACAAATACTTACTAAAACAAAGACAAATAGCTTAATTAAACGATTTCTTACTCGCTCCTAGAGTTGAAGAGTTGAACAATAGAATGATGAAAGGTACATCTTCGGTTACGAAGCTATCAAATTAATGCTTAATACAAAGCATTCATACCTATCATGAAGTATCTTCCTGTATGTATCGTTTATTTGCTTTAAGATGTTAGAACATCTTCTTACGGCCTCTAAAAGTTTATGGCATGCAGACAAGTTTTGACCTAAGTAAATTATCGCAATTCAGACCCAGTATTGGATTGGTACAGCTTGCTTGCTTGTCTGTTTTCCATTCCGCTAGCACTTAATCTTAGCAATCACTGATAGATATATGGACCTAATGTATTAATGATTATGAAAATGAAAAAATTTTTAAATTGATTTCCAACATTACCTTTCACTGAAACAACAGTAATAATTGTCAACAATTAATCGTAGGAAACAAATATCTGAAGTTCGTCTAATTTTTCGAGTGCTAACACAGGATCCAGCAGAAAAAAGCAGTTTTATTCGACAACATCTTACTACTCAACAATGAAAACAACAAGAAATTAACTAGTTTTCAAATATTTTTCAGAAATAAACAGCTGAAATAATCGAATTTAATCAATTTTTCAGAATGAGACATCCATTGGAAATGTAATGAGTGGTATCTTCCTAAAATGAAATTGTAGTATTTTTGCATTTTAAGAAAGAATTCGAATATATTTATTCAGTGAATATTTCGATTTAATCAGATAAGGTTAAGAAGGGCCATCCATTAAATTTACTTTGTTTTTTCCTCTAAATGTTCGCAATAGAGAGTTCAACAAAGAATTTTTTAGAAACAACTGTAGCTCAACTTGATGATTACTTTTCCTGGAGCGTCAGTAAAATTTTTAACTCACATTTCAAAGGAGAGATGTAGTGGAAGTGTCAGGACTTTCTGGAGTGTAGTATTTTTTTGGAGAAGTGCCAGCAACAGCTATTGTGTCTGTGGAACTTCCTTCTGAATTTTCTAATAACTCTGAATTCGAATCCTTCTTCATTAGTTCTCCCACATCATCTGTTTGTTCTTTCTCGCTGTCAGTGAAAATCTGACTTTCCTTTTTTTCTTTTATTTTCTTTAATTCCTCATTTGCATGCTGAAAATAAAACATTTTGGAATGTATTTTTAAAATTATAAACCTCAACTTTTATTGGACTGCATCTCCCAGCCGACGTTTTGTATGTTTTTTTTTTCCTGTATCACGAGCGATAGATGGGCCATTTAGAATAGTAACCATCAAAGTGAAGTAAATTTAGAATAATTTATGTCAAAAAATATTTGTTGGAGAGTTTCCATTACTCAACTACATCACCTCATCGAACGCTTTATTGATGCATCTATATAGGCATATTAATAAACTAACATATGCAAGATCGGAAGCTAATCCCAATGGTGATCTTTCTTGTGATTGCCTTGTAATTCCCGGTATCATTATATCATGTCTTATTAAGGTTGTTAACCATAAGAACATCCTGAAATGCGATATAAATTTTCGAAGTCAATAAAGGTTCAATTGCATCATAATTGTACCCTAAATGTTAACATTTTTTTTTAATTTTATTGATTTTTCAAGGATAATGATATTATATCAAGTATGTAGAATAAACTAGGAATTGCGCAAATGGTCTAATTATTATTATGATGTCATACCATTTGCGAGGTTGTCTAACAATCACAGAGAGGGAAAATATGCATAACAAGTGCTAAGTCCAAAGGAATGTCCATTTCAAATCCTCATATGGCGGCTTCATATGAAAAACAATTTTTATTGAAAAACTACACATAAACCAACGAATGAGTAGCAAGCTCCTGACGATAAATTTCCGCAATTATGTAAAGCTGTCGAAATTCATCAGCCTTAGTTTCAGTTTCTTCACCCCAATTATTTAACCTTTCGTGTGTTTTTTCATACCACTTATCGTAACTTTCGTAGTGCACCTTGTCTAATACTAAACCTAGACCTGGTGCCTTTGGTATGTCCATCTAAACAAATAACTTCATTAGATATGATATGATTAGATCTGATAATATCTGCAAACTCTTCCACTGTTAATCAAATATTTCATTGCATTTTACTTATGGCATTCTTGCACTCTATTTTGATAAAGCCTTTACGAACGTAAATGAAAGGGAAGAGAATCTTGAAATCATTTTAATGATAATTCTCGCTGAACCCTCTAAAAAATACATAACATCAGGTTTGGATAAGGAATATGACTTGGATGAATAACCAATTTTAATCACATTAATTTCGTTCATAGATCATCATTAAGATCATAACTTTAAGATTTTTTTTGCTCCCATTTGTATTCAAATAGCAAAAAACGTACTCGCTCACTTAGAAATGTATTTTCCATCTCAGTTTTACCACATAATCCTCTGAAAACTGCTATTGTCATCCCTGAAATTCATGCAGAAAGTTATATTCTAAAAGTGTTGAAAAATTGCTTATTTGATGAAATCAAAAATTCACGAATTTTAAAACAGAAAGTACCGATCATTTTCCGAATCTGATGCAGCATAAAGCTTTGTCCAGTGATATAAAGAGTAATAAATTCAACCATATCATCTCGTACTTCATCTTCAACAAGTTCTGTTGGACCACATTTAAAGTCATGTATATATCGCATGTTGCTTCGATCTTCGTAGATTCTAAAAATATTTTTTAATATAGAGAGATATTATCCCCAAATAAAATTGAAGGTTTTATTGCAATACAGATAAGATCCTAATTAGTGAAACGTTCTAATTAAAATGAGATTTAGTATTTCTAAATTTTATAGCTCTTGAAGTAATATTATTATTTTGAGAAAAATAATCTGAAGAGATGAAGAAATAATAAAAATCAAAGGTGATGCTTTTGATTCTTAATCTCTGTTCTGTTTAGCAGCTAGTCCTAATGTTTTTTCCATCCTTACCAATGCTGCCGACATAAACCCTTTCTGATGTGTATCTCCACCAATTTCTTAACAGTTTTTTTTACATTTTAAGAATATATTTTGCCACCAGGTTTTTCAAAACAAAATCCAATTTTTGATATATATACACAACTCAGGAAATTCTATAACCATTATTTCGTGCAATTGTTACTGTTGCAATTCCAATCTGCAGAACAATGCAAATATACAATGAAAAAGGAATTGGAAACATTTCTCACTAAAAGAATTCCAGAAAAAAATGATAGAAGTGGATTTTGATTCTATTTCTCAAAACCGTATGTTGCGAAAAACCTGCACAAATTTGGCTTGGACTATTTTGCTCGAATATAGAAATCATGCAATCAGTTTAGATTGATAAAAGCACCTAGGAAAATAAGCTTACTTACTAGTATCGTATAACCTAGGAAAATAAGCTCATTTACTAGTGTCGTATACTAATTCTTTCTAAAATATAAAGATTTACATTTATTTTGAAGTAATTAGTCCAAACACTAATACAATAATGTAATGTTTTCAACTTTCTTGATAGAATATCCTTTGGATCTTTGAATTAATTTTTGCTTCAGTTAAAATAATAATGCTTGAGAAATTCTGCAATTTATTTTTTTACCTTTTATGAGTAATTTATTTTTGTTTTCTAGTTTCCATGAGCACTCATTTTCAATGAATATTGGTGTAAAATTCCTCCAGTCTAATTAAAGATAAAGTACTCTAAATGAGCACTAATAATATGAAGGCTCAGCATGCAAACTTACTATATTTAGTCAAATTGTTTTTTAAACAGATAGAAAATTATTAAACACTCGCTTCACTGCAATTTTTAAAGAAATGACAAAATTACCATTATGAGCAATATCGAAATCTGTCGTAGCATTTTAAATCTTTTATTGCTGACGATGGATTCAAATGAGTCACTTCGCATTCACACAGTTCAGAAAGAAGACACATACCGCCCACCTTATAATATCGTACTGCCCACCAGAATAGTAAAAATAGTAATTATGCTTTGTTGCACCTGATTCCTACGGGCAAGCTAGTTGGCAGTTGGAGTAAACAAAATTATTTTTTGCGGATAAGAACACATTTCAGGATGACAACACAAACAAATCGTATTAGAATTAGCGAACATCTAGTATACTTCTTATATTGGCTGCCAAATTAAAAAACTTGCCTTCCGGAAGTATAATTGAAAAAATTATGCGTCCCTTTGTACAATGAAAGTAGGTCATTCAATTCAGCAATAGATGTTTCGCTAATGCGGAAGGCACTGGTTGTCAACTGAAATTAAATGCAATATTTCAACAAAGGCAACATTCCCTAATTTAAAAAGATCTTTTTCTAAGGGTGTTTCCTCCCAATCCATCTGAAAAAAGAAATTAAGCTTGAATATGTGGAAAACAACACAGCACCTCATGTGCTCTGGCGAATGCGTAAGTTGGCAAAGTATAAGAATAAGTTCGTTTATCACAATTCTTATGAGCTTTGAAGGAACGGATTGCACGTCTGAAAATAAAATATTATTAAAATTTTCTCTGAAATATGAAGAAAGCGCTCATTTACATTATGAATGATGTTCAAAAGATAATTTGTCAATATGACTGCAATTCAGAAGCGAGATTACAACTAAGCACTAATATAATATAATATTAAGTTCGCTCTCACTGAGCACTCAAGAAGCGAGAATGAAACATAGCTTACCTAACACCCAAAACCCGAATTTCTTCAGGTAAATGTGCATTCAATTTATCAGTGGCTGTTTTTAGAAAATATTCATGGTTTTCTGGTGCTAACCGCATCGAGCACATCTAAACTTCAGAGAAAAAGAATCCCAAAATGCAATAATCCATAGGATTTTCTTCCTTAATTAAAAAAAAAAAAAAAAAAAAACAAAAAGCAAACAAAATAACTAATTGAATTGGACCTGGCGAGCTGCGGATACGGAACGATCTGTCCTAGCAGCTCTCTGAAATGCAAAACGAAGTGGACTAAGAATGTCATCCTCAGAAATGTATCTGCATTTAGCCATCGCTTTGAACAATTCGCCCTCAATTGTGGGGAAATTTTTTTGTACCTGTAAATAAATTTTGTTGATCCACAACAAACGAATTATCGTATCCAATGTAACAAAAAAGAGACATAATAATCCAGATGCCAGCGTACGATTTACGATTTTTTTCAAAGATTTTCAACTTCCAATAACTATAACACTTTATAAATTTTTGTCATCCTGGAAGTCCGAAATTAAGTTGTCGTATCTTCCATCTTATGCCACTGGATCAAATTTCGTCCCTTATGAAAAAGTGAACATTATGACTAATCACTACCAATATTGTGGCTCATAAAACAATCATTTGATACCAGTTTGGGTTACTACAAACTGAAAAAAATAAAAATTGAACTAACTCAAATTAGAAAGTTAGAGCAAACGATTTTTTGATCGTTTGCTCCAGTCATTATAAGTATAAATAGTAATTAATTACTTAGGTTTCACATTCATCTTATTTTTTCTTACTATTTTCCCACTTCTATTAGCACGAGATTGTGAACATAAATTACACAAGAGCCAAAACAAAAAAAGCAATAATATGTTAATAGCTATCCGAATCTGAAGTATAATTTGTTTGTTAATATCAGGAATAAGATCAGATGGTTTCAGTGAGCAATGGAAAACTAGTGCTTGAAAATTTTTTATATTCAGATCTCTTGTCTTTTACACAAAGTGATTTATCAACTTTTTGACCAACTCAAAAACTGAAAGCTGCCAAATAATTTTACTTGAAATAAAAACAGAAATAACCATAACAAAAATATTGGACCAAGAAGAAAATCTACAAGTCTTACGCATATATCTTATATAAAACAAAATATCTTCGGGAGGTAAGCTTTTTCAAAAACACGATCCATTTCTCTTAAACGGAAATAGTACCGAGAGTTTTTATTCTTAAAAATTGCAAAGTAACGAAAAGCACAACACTTCTTACAATCACTATGCAAATTAAGGAGTGCAAAATTGAAGCTAGAATGGAATAAAGCAGTCTCAAAAAATTACTGTCTTTACCTGCATACCGTTGTACTTCTTGCCTTGATATGCTAGCAGCAATGCATAGGAATATTCTTTTCTTCTGCTTTTTCTAACAGGTTCACCTACAATATTGTGTATAATCAGTTTTAAGTGGCTGAACAAATTAAATTAGGAAATTATAAACCAGTTGTTCATAAATCAATTTTCAAACAAGAAATGCTGGAAATTAGTGGAATTTATAAAAAATATGGTCCGAAGGAATATCAATGCGTAGTAAAAAACAAGAATCTTAACGAAAAAAATGAAAGTGATCCCAAAATTTTTAGCAATCTATGTCTAAAACCCAAGAATTCATTGGAGTTTTGGAAGATGACTTATCCTGAACTAAAAAACTTCAATTTCAACCTTGCCAAAAACTAGACAGAACTACGCAGAAGTTCGAAAACAGTGCAAAACACTTGCCATCGACGACACCAGCTGAATCAGATGGCGCGGATATAAACACATCCATCCTAATATTTTTTACTTGTTTTGCTTTCCTTAGCACATTTCGCACAAAATCACGAACATTTCTTAGCATCAAACCTAAAAAGTGCACACCCACAACGCAAATAATACAGGCTGAGGACGAATTTCAAAAAATTTAACACGAACATAAGATCGCTGATCTCTAATTAATTTTTCGAAAGCATATTGAAATCTTTTTAATATCCCGAGCTGCGACCCATGAGAGTTGGCTAAATCACTCAATAAAATTATAGTTTGATAAAACCGTCCCGCCAAACTCGTGGTGGCAACCTTTATTTCTCATTTCATCTGATAAAGCATTAGGAGCAAACAAAATGTAAAATCCCAGTGTTAACCTTTGTCCAGAAATACTCAAGAATAAAGAGTTAAGTATGGGCTGCAATGCGAAGTAGACATAAGAGTTAATGGAATACACATGGAGACAGCAACAGATCCTTGAAAACACTGTCGAACGGGAAAAAACCAGCACAGTATTAAGCGAAGTGCAAAAGAGACTGTGGGAAAAAAACTTTATACGAATTTCAGCTAAGTTTATGGAAACAGTTTTACAAAGGCAATAACATCATATTTCTCATTACTAATAAGAATTGGAAGTATAATTAAAATAAAATAAATTAACTAGTGAGCACTATTCGTTAGAACAGTACAAAAAATGTTTCAGGAGTTGGATATGAGGGAGAAAGTGATGTTGGAAACGAAATCGAAAATAACTTCTGTACTTAAATGTTATATGTACAACACGATACTTAGTATATTCACGGGAAAAATACTGTTAAACAAAACTATTCCAACGACTCTCGCAGACCAAATTATGTTTCATATTGTTTAACATATCACCAAGTTGTACGTGTTGGCTCGCCCCAATCACGACCATATTTTGACTGACGACCTTCATATTGATCATTGTAGTACTGTAATAAGTTCATCAAAAGCATTGCATGCTCTTATACTAAAATTAAACTAAGTAATACTAAGTAATGCGCTAATAACAACGTAAAAAACTGGTCTTTCTCGGTTAATTTACGAAATTCTGATAAATGTTTTGATAAGATTGTTGGAGCAAATTCCGCCAAAAATTTATATCAAAGAATAACGAATGATTAAAGGACATCAATAAAAAAAACAGAAAACTCACTTGCTGTCCACTAACTCCACTTGAATAAGCAGTTTCTTCATCTAAAAAATGAAAAATTTTGACATGCAAAATACAAAAAAAAATTAGCAAAGAAACGAAGAATCTTTTCTTAATAGCAACTTGTGGTGTTGAAAGATATATCATTAATTATAACAACTGGCATACTAATTAAGATTTACAATTTTCTCAACAATAGTATTTTTCAAAAAGAAATTGACTAATGCATAAAATTTTCAGAGCAAAATTTTGATTACTATACCAGCGGTTATCTGTCCATGCCAATTAAAAATAAATATTAAGTAAAAATATGCTGTAAAGCAATATCCTTCTTCAGTATACTTTCAACAAAAGTTTACTAACATTCTTATTAAATAGTTGAATATATTTAAAAGGAAAAGAATGTTTGCAATAAAGCAAGAAAAAGAATTTCCACATAAAGGCAAAGTTCAGACATAACTCTTCATTGGAAGCTAAAACAACAAGTTTCACAAGTGTGTTCCTGTGAATGAATGACAGAAATATTACCTTCAGCAAAAGAGCTGTAAAGCGGACGTGGGGCTGATGTTAGACGAGTAGGCGCTCCGCTTACTGTACGGAATGTTATTGTTTTAATTGGATGAGGGATATTTGTTGCTGGAAATAATTCGATGTATCTGAAAAAAGAAGGATGGCATTATTAAGCTAATAAATGGGGATAAAAAATCGAAATCCAAAAAACACAACAGGGAATTTTATATAGATGTCATTTTAAAAAATATTATGAGCATATAAAGGACTGAAAACAGCTCGGCCCTCAATGCAGTGCCCTGCATTTGATTTCTTTGGTTAGTGGAGTGCAGCTGCATGCCAAGCATAGCTAATTTGAATAGAACTAACAATGATCGACTTAAAGAATATAAAACAAAGCTTAAAACGTTTAAGATCTCCAACAAAAAATATATTTGTGAGTGCCGTAGTAAAGCTACCTTAATTTCAGGGGCACCATTGTGTGTAATTTTTTTAACATTTTATAAGAAGATTTGTATCGTCCTTATAATTTCAAACCGCTGGTGAAAAATGTCGAAAATTTTCAAATAATAGGCAAAGAGATTTTGTACTTCCAAAATCCCTTCACTTATTTTTATTGTCCCGTATAACTGTCCTAAATAAAAAGACAATTGTGTGGGACTGTGTTCGGTACGCAATTTCACCTCAGCGACACCAAAGGTACCATACTGAGGGCCGAGCAATTTTCCGCTGCTCCGTACCTGCCCTTAATCCATGGTTCACCTTTCCATTCAATATTGCTTGATGGTCCTGCTACACGTTCTTTTTCTGCACATTTTTCATCATTTGCGTGCATTGTTTCCTCACTCCGCATCTTTTCGGTCTCGTTACCTATCATCATTTCAAATACTCCATCTACGCCAAACATTCCTTTCAACTTCATATCACATTCGCCAGACGTTTTAACTTCATGTAGTTTCTCCTGTGACATAACCACTCTCTGCTGCTGTTCGCTTATTATGTTTGGCTTCTCAGAAGCTTCTGCGGTACACAACCCATTCAGCAAATGTTCCTCAGTTTTCTCCACAAACTTCTGTACAACATTTGGTTGTTCCTTTTTCTTTTTTGTATTCTGCTGCACTACTCTTTCTTCCTGGAAAGTTTTCGTGTTTTCCTCGGTTCCACTTTTTTCCAACTGTATTCCAAAATTTTTCAATGAAATCGTATCTTCTTTTCCACCGTTTTCCTGCAAAAATTCTTCTTCCATTACTCGCTCGAAATCCTCCATGGTAGTTTCATCTTCCTGCGTATTCTCAGTGTTTTCATGCGATGTTTTTCCTTTTTTCCAACGTCTATATTCTTCAAAATCCCTTTTCATTTGCATTCGTATTTGTTTGCATAAGGCAGCATATTCATCGTTCATTTGATTCTCCTTCTTCATTGTTCTCCTCTTTCGTAACAACATTTTCGTGCCTTCAGAAATCCTCGTACGTTTCCGTTTTTTATTTCTAAAAAAGCAGTTACTGATACAAAGACATTCAAAGCTTTTAGGAACCATCTCGCTGATTTACTTGAAATGATTTTTCATTCTCGTTCCAAAAATAACGTATTCGTGGGAAGTGGCCACATACTTCACTCCATCATAAAATCTTGTTATTCGAATTGACTAACGATATTCTATAGTCAATGTTTCTTTTTTTTTTTTAAATTTGAGCTCAAAGCAACAGCCACTTGACATTGCTCAATAAGCGCATTTTCCATGTAACTTGTCTGCATATGTCTCGTTTTGTCCAGTCTCAAAGTAACATAAGTGCCAAAATTCGATTAAAAAGGTGCCTTTTATCCTGGCACATGATTTACGCGAATATAACCAAACATAGACCATTTAAAAGCAGGCCTGAAAATTCATAGCATTAGCAACCAAATTCACAACAAAATGTTCTCCATCACTTACCTCGTGCCCATATTGTTTTTGTTACGTGATAGTGCCTCTCGTGCTTCAGCCATTGTTGAAAAAGTTACCAGTGCATCACCCGAAAGACGACGCTCTTCATTATAACCAAGCTTAATCTCGACACAGTTCAACGGTCGGAAAAACTCTTCAATATCGAGTGTAGTAACGCTGTATGGTAAACCTGAAAATAATGTCTAATAATAACAATAATAATAGCAAAACGAGATAAAATGGCTTAGCTGAGAAGAAATTTTGGTTGATGAAGGCAGTTTATATATTTGATAAACCTCCTAATTTATGAGTATAATTGATAAAAGTAGTTTATATTTTAGTGAACCTCCGTAACTTATGAGGAGTGTCTTTGCAGATTTACCAAAAATCTCAAAATAAGAAAATTTATAAACAAAAGAATAACCTCGCATAAAAACTTTAACGGTGGGGTCATACATTGCTTCATCGAATTCTGGATCATATCGTGCACCGTATCGATAATAACGATCCCTATCATAATATGGACGATCATACGGTGATGGGCGTGGGTGTAAGCTTGAAAGCCTTATCGGTCCACCATAGCGACCATAATCTGCATACCTACAAAGCTTAATTTTCAGCCTTTCCAAAATCAATTATCATGTAAGAGAAACCTTGAAAAAATTGCACCATAACTCATTTAAGTCCAATTAATTTTACACTTTACAAGTAATAATTGATAAACAGCAATGTAGTGTTTTCAATTTTTAAGTAAAAAGAGTCAGAAAAAATCAATGAAAATACCTGTCACGAAATCGAAAGTCAAGCGTCGGACTTATTCCACGCAATGGGACTGGTCCACTGGTTGGCGGTGGTATGCCTCGTGCTGCATAATAACTATTATCCATTTCATCGGCCGAACTGCGAAAAACCTCGACATATCTAAAATAACCATTATGGAGAGCGGTCCGCATTCAGCAGATGGAGAGCACTTTTCTTCCATTTCTTCTTAAATTCCAAGAAATTAAAATTTAAACAACTGTTTATGTGAAACAAACACTAACAGACAATAGCAAATTGATCATAATTTCTGTAAAAAACTTACGCTAAACAAAGATCACGCCGGATCCCTAGCAGCCAAATGGCCACTCTTCAATTCGGACCCTACCAACAAACACAAATTTTACCTGCCCAGAATTGAAAATTTGCAAATTCCCCAACAGAATTCCCATACCTTGAACCCATGTAGTTTTTGCTTCTCTCCAAAGCCAATTCTGCGTATTCTTTGGTTGCCAACCGTACGAATGCCTCCCCCGAAGGTCGACCCCCCGGTTCTTTGTCGATTACCGCATCCGCTACTTCCAGGCCTATATTCCCATTAAAACATATTACCAAAGCCACTCTCATACCAAACTACCGCTACCGGTCCTTTAATTCTGTTCGGGGATGACATACAACTCCGACAATCAGCTGTGCAACGGCATGAAAATTATATTTGGATCGTTTCGACAAAAACAATAAAATTCCAAGGAAATACTTCACTTGAAAAATTTCAGTTACAATCCAGAAAAAAGTGCAGAAGCCAATCATTCAACCTAAATAAACATCTGAAGTGGATAGACAGAAACCTGAGAAAAATTCCTTGATGTCATCGATCGTCGCACTATATGGTAAACCTCGAAGGCGGACAACAAAGTTACTAGCATAGCGGCTGTCCGCATCTCCACCACTACCTTTGATCACTCCATGACGTATCATCATCAGTAGTTCAGCATCACTAACACTGAATACTGTAAAGGTTTCATCAGTGGACATGACATGAGTACCAAATTAGAAAATAAACTTGAACGGACTATTGCCGTTTAATAACATATGCTTTTATCCACTCATTGGACATAGCACAGTGTTATCTATATCTTCTTTATAATCTCCAAATGCGCTTGCAAAATGTCCTTTCCAACTGGAAACAATATTCGCCAACTTTGCACAAACCTTCGATATAGCGTCCATTTATCTCATTACGATCAAGCTTTTGAGCTTCTTTGACAGCTTCCTGATCATCCAGCTCCACGTAACATTCGCCACTTGCTCGACCATTTGATGTTAGCGTGAAAGTTATCGACTTTGCATTCAAACCGAAAAAAAAAACTATGTATCTAAGAAAAAAATTGCTTATACCTAAGAAATGATCTGCTTTAGAAAACCTTGAAGGAAATCTCGGACATCTTGTTCTTTAGCGGCAAACGGAAGCCCACGCAATCGTATATAATTCGTATCCGGATTCATCGTCCAAATTTAGCAAAATAACGACTGGAAAGAAGCATTCATTTAGCTGAGTGGCGTACATAATGTGATATATAAATCATCGATGTAAGGCAGAATCACTAAAAATTGAAAGTTATTGAAGCGGTAATGTGATGCGATAATCTTCAATACAGTTGAATTACAAAGAAGAGCAAGGAGAACGAAGACTGCCGAGGACAATCGATACATCCACCCATAGAAAGCGAATTTGTCCTTTGTGACAACCGCAATGGTGGAATCTCTTCAAGAGCATGTGATAACTGTACAGCGCAATAGCGTGATTGGATGGACAAAGAAAAGTATTTCGGTAACGACTGCAAGTTTTAAGTTTTCTGAAGTTATGCCAGTCAATCGAAGAATAGTGCTTGTAGCGATGACGATAACGAGTAAATACTAGTGAAAAGTGGAGAGGATCAGTTAGAGTCAATCACGTTTAACTCATAAAATTAAAAGCATTTGAAATATCAATCTCAATAGAATGTTATTCATTTAAAAGAGGCAGGAACGTAATTCTTATGTCGGCTCCGGTTATGTCACGTCTATGATTGCGCCTAATGACTAAAAGTGATACCTACAAATACCGCGCTGTGCAAAAAATATGACGCAATTTTTCGGAATAGTTGCAGTGAGATCTCCTTACTAATATTAGAGATGTCCTTTGCAAACGTATACTATGTCATCTTTTTCTGGTTAAGATGTCTCCCATATCGAACAATTAGTAACATGCCTTTACTTGTTAATTTCCTTTCACTGCTGTTCCTTCATTAATTTCTGCTAACTACCAGCCTGACTAATGATTTTAGCAACTCTTGGTAGAAGATTACTGGTAGAAGACCCATGTCTACAAAAAATCTATTGAAAACATACTTTTAACATGAACCTTTCTCAAGATGAGTTATCCAGAGAATGGTATCTTTACGCCGCGAACGAACGTACCCTCTAATGAATTAATCATATTCACAGCACAAAATAATCCACATACCGTATGAGTGAGTGAACTTATCCATATGTACATTATGTGTCAATTCATAACTATTTATTTCGTTTATCACTCTGGATTTGATTAGGCTTTGGTTTTCAAGAAGAACAAAGAGAAACACTTAATATTTGATACATTTTCCCTCATATTAAAAAATTAGTTTTAAAAGTATGCATTGTTTCCGGAATACATGTTTTGTGTTTTAAGAGACCGATAAATTTATTAATGAATTTGCCGACTGGCAAAGAGTTTCAATTAGTTTTGGTTAGATGACACCTTTAATGAAAAAATAGTAATTGTATAGTATCCTTCTGACATGCTTTATGATAGTAGGAATATGATTTCGATTGCGCGAAGAATTATGTGTCTTTACGAAAAATCGATGTGGAGAATTTTACCCTAAAATATTTTGCACCACTTCCTTAACCCTGCAATTCACTTTACTTTCTGTTCTATACTGTTGCTTCAGTTTTATTTCGTATGATTCCGAAAACTCCATAAATCAAATGTTTTTATAAAAGAATTCGAATATTAATGTAATCTAAACAGTTATTCATGAAAAATTAGTACAATAGAAGAATCAATACTATTCAACGGACTTATCTGAATTATTTCTTCTAATAATTCTGTTTCCTTTCTATTAGTTTTGTGTTGAATCTCAATAATATCTCTTGAACTTTTGAAAATTCTAAGCAAAAAAAAGGAAATGAATTGTTATAAAACGGAAAAAACCATCGACAGTTCAGTGATAAAAGAAGAAAAATGAACAGTTTCCTGAAAAGTTCAGAGAATAATATGTTAATATTAATTGATGAAGTTTTATTTACAAATAAAAAAACTAAGACGGAATTAAACACAGGGAGTGCTCCACTAACTGTTTTTAGTTTTTCTTTTACTAGAACATAAACAAAGTTCGAACGGTTTGAAATCAAAGTACCAATCCATTCATATACATGTGATAATTAGCAGAAATGAAAATATTCAAATGCTCGAGGAAAAGAAGTAGTAAAGTATATTTCGTTCGTCAAGCCTGAGAAATGAATAAAATACACATTAAAGATCGAAAACATTTGACAATTGAAATTTGAAATCAAAATTTTGAAGAATTCAAAGTATTTTGGAAGTGTTAACAATGTTTGAGAGACATTTATTGAATACTGTGCTCATAGCGTTAATCCAAAGCAAAAATAACTGAATTCTGAATTTTTCTAAAGACATCTCATCTACTCAGCTTCAACACTTCCATCCACATAATATCATGATTTCAGCCAAGCACCTGCGCTGAAAGTTGATAATAACATTCAGATCAGTCAGCTACAAATCACAGATACATATATCGAATTGAAAGGTCATGGAAGATAGCAACAAAGCGAAAATCGGATTGTAACGATAGCAACAGTGTCTACTCAGAGTACTAACTCGAAATAATTGTGTAGCACCCATTTCATTCGTTTCAGCTCGGCTAACTCGTGATATAATTGGGCATTACGAGCACGTGCATTGCGGCGCTCACGGGCCTCTTCCACAAGTTGACGTACCTCTACACTTTTCAACTGAAAATCATTTCATTTATCTTCAATTCACAATACAATTCAAACCTTGCCACATTTTCAGTCACCAAACAGTCACAGTTTTTGTTCTAGCACCAGTCAAATGTCACCAGTCAAATGGCAAATTTTGAACTGATAGAAAATGCAGCTAATTTAATATAAATGTTCAGCAATTTCATTCTCAAAAATCATCCAGCTGTACAATACATTCAGAAGTTGGAGAATGATGAAAGCCTTATTACAGATCCTGAAGACGAGAAAAATTATTACTTGTAATTCAGCAATCTGCGCGTCCAATTCAGTCAGGAAATCCAGTTCAGCTTCTTCCAGATTGTTTGTTCTTCGAGGCGGTGGTAGCGATGGTAGAGTTCGTGGGGGTGGTGGTGGGGGAGGAGGGTGAAATTCGGGTGGTGGCCTGTAGTTAGCACAAGGGATATAGGTGAAACTGGACGCTACGTTCGGATACTCAGTTACTCGGTCTTCCTCACGTCTTTCGCACTGATAATGACAGTAATGTGGGCTATAATGGTCATGGTTTGGTTGGGTGTAAATCGGTGACAAGCATCGGGAGGAGTGCAGCGATCCATCTGATGAGCCACCAATTTCCGAATCCGATGAATATATCTGATTATCCAATGGTAATGACAATCCACTGAAGGCCTTCAATTCAAAACTCTAAATTATCTCACATAGTTTTGTACAATTGCTAAGTTTGCACTGAAATGAAGATTTTCGGAGTTAAATGAAAGTTACGTGTGGATATGATATAAAGTTAGGTTTTGGAGAAATATCTCCGTTGTGCTAGTGAAATCCGCTCTTCATTTTCAATAAATCAAGAAAATAATGTGATAATGGACCTCTAGTTCATGATATACATGCTCATCATCTTTGTGAAGCTGTTCCCTATCATCGATTGTTTTCAGATCTTCCATTTCCGATTTATCTTCCAAATCTAATTCTAAAGCTTCATCGACATCAATTAAATTGCATTCCACCGCTTTATCCTCTAATCGACCACGCTTTCCAGTTATGATCGATGGTTTCCAATCCGGCGTGTGCACTGACGATTCCGGACTGAATAGCGGAATACGTAAATTATTAGCTTACAATTCGAGAACTTGAAAAGTGGAGGGAATTATTTTCTTCATATCTTGCTCGATTTTTTTCAGATAGGAACGAAAATCTTATGTTTTGACTTTCAATTATGAAGTTGTACTCCAAACCTAAGAGCATTCTAGCATTCACGCACTCTTGATGGAAGGAACCAATTCATCCAAAGGCAATCTTTTCATTTAGAAATAATTCGTTGAAAAATGGAAAGCTTTTGAAAAAAATGCTACCTGCTGTCTTGACTGCCATAACCGGAACTGTAAATGCTTTCATCCAAATTTTTGATACGAAATGATGCGGTACGATCTATCGATGCATATATCAGTTCATTAGCGGATTTTGGTTCCTGATAAGCAATAGTCTGAATCAATGGGCGACTGTGTGAAATCCATGGATTTGTACGTATATTCTGGAAAAGTGCTTTGAAACTTTTGAGATAAAGTGATGGGTGGGAAGAAAGAGCAAGATAACATCAAGCAACTATCCAGTGGAATTAGTCCAGTTCAAATTATTTAAAATCGAATGCGATTAAGCCAGATCAGGTTAGGTACATTTTAGTTCTATTCGCCCATTATTCTGCATACAACTAATAAGCATTTATAAGCAATATGTAAACCTAATTAACTTTGATGAGGAAATTAAGAGATTTTGATTATAAGTAAAATCTAATTCATGAAGACTATGGAAATGGAGGCATACTTTTCGTCCAGAACTGGTTGACGCGGAAAATGACTGTAAGAAGGATGTGGCAAGTTTGGAACCATCGCGACATGATTGACTTACCGTTTCTTGCCTGTTCCAAGAAGACGGCATTATTACTGTAATAAAATAAAAATGAAATGAAGAGTGACGAGTGAATGAAAACATATGTACTGCACTACTAATAATTTCATTTGCCTCTCCTAGCAACTAGAAATTGATTCTAAATTCTACATGACATCATAAAAGGCTAAAAATGAATGTTGAACTAAATCAAGTTGTAGCACTTGCTGAGTTTTTGACAGTAAAATAATGATATTTATGGGACAAAACACAAGATTTTCAATTCCATTGAATATCTAGAATCAATATTTCTTTCTATAAATAATTTTTGATATATTTTTTTGGTTTAAATCCTATTTTAAGATAGAAAATTGTGCAAGCTTCTGTATCCATTCAGTAATAAAAAATTCTACCAACCATGTAGCTGATCATTAATAACCAGAGATTGCGACGGAGCATCAACAGAATGATCTCGATGATTATGATTCTGTGCGGCACTGACACTATGATGAAGTCGTGGTGCTGCTGATTTGGATTGCCTTTTGTGTGGATGTGATAGTGAACTACAATTCTCTGATCTTCGAGATCCACGACGTCGCAAAGGCAGCTGTTCAAACCATGAACTAAGACGCTGCATCAGACCAAACTCTGAATGATGAAAAGTGGTTATAAATTATCAGTGAAAACAAGCGTTGTTTTACACTTGGCAGTGATTCGGTCCCAGAAAGCGCAACGTCAAGTTCTCAAGGAAGTATGAAACTCCTCGAAATTTCAGATTCAGCAGCAGCCTTTTGGAATAGCGCTTAAAATATTTGTCCAGTTGAGAAAAAAACAATTGAAAACGATTTTAAAAAACATTTATCTCCATGGAAACAGTAACTCTTGCCATTACAAAGTAACAGCTAATTTGTTTAAACCTTTATAATTGAAATTTCTCATGTTGTTAATATAAAGCTAATAAAGTTCAATATAAAGTTGTGAATTTCAGATCATAAAATTCTACCAGCCATCTGATCAATAACGAAAATAGTTACAGAGTGTGGCATAAAAAGTAATAATAAATCAGCCCTTAATAATTTCTGAGTATAGAATGCGCAGAATATGATTCAAATTTTGTAAAATATAATTCGTTCAATTTTAAGGCGTCTTATTGCAGTTGAGAAATTATCGGAAATAGATGGATGATGTAGAAAAAGGCCCATCCCAGAAAGCTTCATCTAAACTTTTCTTCTTCATTTATGAACAAACATTTCGCCTTCTCAGCAAAAATTACTCAATTGGTTTTGGAGCAAAATTTTCGGGTGAAACGGGCGAGTGGATTTCTTTTTGCACGGAACCCTAATTAGAGGATGTCTTTATCCTTTCACCAATGGCTTATTCCGAGAGTAGTGGAGCGCTGAATTTAATATTGTTAAATGCACTGGGCTTGGGATTATTTGGAATTGTGATGATTCCCTAATGAAAGGAAGGCAGAGGGGATATGGAGAGCGAAAGCAAGACATCCATCTTGCTGATTACAATTAGCTCACCAGCCTTCCGATGAACTGCCTATGTTTGCACATCACTTCGCCCACCATATCAGCATGCTTTCTTGATCGGTCCACTTCAGTTCCCAAAGTTATAACAAGACAAAGATAGCTTGATTAATTCACAATATGCGCATTCTTCATTTGTATACCATTCCTCTATGATTTTAAAATCTCATATGAAATGCAACATATTCAGAGTGGGATAGAAGTAGAAGAGCAGAAATTAGGAAATCGTTGTCGAAACATATGTTAAAAAAAACGGAAATTTCAAGGGAAGAAGAGGTGACAACCCAAGATATCAGTAAAATTCATTATCAGTTTAAAATTCTTTTCATCGCCAATTTTTGCAGCAGAATGATATATACGAAAATTGGAAAAAATGATCGAAAGTTAGATTACCGTAATAGTATTTAACTCTTAAAATTGAAATGAATTTCAGAAATGATCATCAAACTTTTTGAATTCTTTAACAAAAAATTTCCAAATTTCGAGAGAACACTCTCTAAATGATTTAAGAAATGGACTGGGCGAGAGAAGTCGACTAAACTGTATTAAAAGCAAACTAAATTGCAGATTAAAAGTCTTAGCAGAAATATGAGGTCAAATTAGTACACCACTATTAATTCATCGATGTTAAATCAACATATAGCAATTCTCGTCTAGAAAGCAAGAGAAAAAGAAAAATTAAGCAGAGAATATTTTATCTCAGGAAAGTGAATTTTTGAAGTTCAAAAATTCTTTAATGATAAGGATCTCAAGCAATAATGATGAAGAATTTGTTTTAATCTATATTTCAACATTTGCTGAACAATATCATTGATTTTACTTGATATTGTCCTGCCTGGATTTTATCATAAACTTCAGTCTTAATCTTAATATCATATTAGGACATCACCACCTGTATAAAACAGGTGGTAATGTCCTAATATGTTACGCGAATTAACGCTGTAATAATAGTGGTAAATTAAGGTGCCAAAACAATACAACAATAATTAGCGATGATAAAAGAAATTTGTTAAATTAATGTGATTTGCAAAATTTTACAAAATTTTTGATTTATAAAATTTACCAAAATTTTTGATTTCATGGCTCCACAGAAAATGCTCTACTGATCGCTATGGTTGTGAATATGAATACAAGAAACAAAAAATTTTCCACTTTTCTGGAATGCACATCGTTGTGTACTAGAACATGAAATGAGATTTTGCTTCCTAATAATATACATAATGTAATAATATAATTAATAATAATAATATATTAATATATAATATATTAATAATATATTCATCAATCGTATTGATTATTTGAATATGATATTGACATTTAATTATTACAATATCATCAATATATGCGATAAAATGAAATTTAATATAATTCCATAATAGTAATTCTTGATAGTGATTTACAATTCATTCATTAAATTTAAATAATTTGAAGATAATATGTATGAGGTCTTAAATACAACCAATATTTCTATCATTTCTATTTTAAATAATCCGGAAAATTTTGGAATCTAACATTTTTGATTAAATGCGATAATTTGAATAGAAACTAAAATGGAAAAAATAATATGAAGAAAGAAAGAAATTAAATAAAATAGAACGAATGGATATGATAGAAAGGAATATAACAAAATCTTAAGGATGGAGCGAGAACAACAACCAGAACGGCTGGCTGGACGTCCTTCAGTTGGACATCACAATTCCTATTGCCACCCTAAATCTCTACAGCCATTAGATTCCAGCAAGCATTGCATACTCTATCCACAAATGTTCATTCAAATTTTCATCTTTAATAATCTTCCCATTCCTCTAACTTTCTTTTTGCCTGTCCTATGTCCATCACTATTATAAATATACAATGAGTCATTATTACTTCATCTCAATGCAGTAATTACTCCGAGTACTGTTACTAAGAACTACTTTCAGTATCATTCCATTTCGTCAGATCATTCAATATCATTCGATCTCATCAGATCATTCACAATTCAGATACAATAAGGTAGTAGATTAATCAGTACGGCTTACCTTGCTCCACAAAAACGAAAGACAGAAGAAATGATGATGTCGTAAAGCTATGTAACAACCAACTATCGATGTTTTTTAGAGAATGTCTAACAGTTGTAACATCACTTCGCATATTACTAGCTGATTTCTTATGTATCAATAACTAAGCACTGGTCGGTACAGATGTTTCTGAAGACCGGCCAAAGCAGATGATCCGGCAATTTATTGGATTGGAGATCGAACTCATAAAAATTGCTTCGATTAATGTTAATTTTGCCATTAGGCATACTATGGAGAGTAAATTTAAATGTAAACACTCTATTGAAAAAAACATTTAAATGCCTATTATGAATATATTACACAATGTCAACCCTTTATCCTTTGCTTTATAAATTGAATTTATGATGAAATTTTTAATAGAATACCTGATTTCCAATGTACGGTGGATGAAATCACAAAGATACAAGGAAGATATAGCTGTCTGTGCAATAATGCAACGAAATGTAAAGTTAGTGATTGAAGAAAAAGTTGTAATTCGTAGTTATATATCTCAAGAAGTAAAGAATGGATGGAATGATTGAGGAAAGATAAGAGAAGAGGAAAAGGGGACGAGATGGAAAGAGAAAAAACTTTTTCCACTTAATGATTTTTGGGACACGTGTTCCAAAAATGGAAGGTTTTTCGAAATATAGAAAGCCAATAGAAGAATAATTTGGATTGTATATACAACGTATCAAAATTTCACTATAGCTATCAACATCCATTCATTTAAAGAAATATTGACTCATGCAAACAAAGGGTTAATATATCTTCTCTTTCAATCACAAGCAAATTATGTTTTTTGTTTTTCATCCCATTTGAAGAATTGTAAGATTTCAAAAAATATTCTTACAATACCTTATCGGTTCTTGTGTTTGCAATTGCAACTTAATTAATTAAGCACTTGCAATGTAAGACTGCAGCAAATTTATCAAACTTTCTTGATAGCAATTAAATGGATATGCATTAATTCCAAACTTCCTTTTATAGCAAAATAAGACAATTTTTGGAATTTTACTAAAAAATATTACTTAAAATAAATTACTGTTGCAAAAGGTTAAAAATTAATTTGCTTTGATCTGTCAAAGATAACATTAAATAACTCACTTCTTTCCTTTGCTGCAAATATATCTTCTTAATAGAATATTTTGCTCAAAATATTTAAGAAAATGCTATTCTCGACATATTCAGTATCACTACTATTTGGTTAATAAAAAAATAAAACAATTTGAGGTCAAAATTAGATTATTGCACTTTTATCACAATGAGAATACGCTTCCGGAAATTGGTAGATTTTATTTGTGACACTTTTGGGATATTCCATCAAATTAAATCATCATCACAGAGTAAGAAATAACCAGCAAAAAATGAATAGATGAAATAAATTAATTTAATTCCATATGAAAAATATCAAAATAAGAAAATTATTTTTGACAAGCTGTTCTTTGCATGTTCTTTTGGCAAACTCGTTCAGAATGAGTTCGAATCATTCAGTTATTTAGTCGAATCTTCAATGTTGTGGCGGTGATGTATTTCTTTGAGGAACAATTTGCTATACTAAATAAAATTTCGCTAATTATATCTACTGGTTCCAGTGGTTTGGCTAACAAGTTTTCCTTCGTTTTTTTTGTGGAAAGACAATGCTATGACGAAGTGAGGCTATTATTCTAATGATAATAAAACTGTAATGAAATAAAACATTCAAAGATGCCTTAGTTATCGATTATCGAACAAAACCTTCTACGATATCGAGCAAAATACCAGAAGTGCATAATGCAAGTCCGAATATTTAAGTCCAATTTTGATAAAATATTGTATCTCAACAATTACAGATACGTGAAGTCAGAAATATAGAAAAGTTTTGGAATATCAGAAGATTTAGTCATTTAATTACTTGAAAGGAAACCAATTTAACCTATGTAGATTTGTATATGTATTAATTTCGAAGTAAACAATTGATATATCACGGACTTCGATATTTTAAATTCTCTTTCTATGGGATAGAAAAAGAATGAGTATAACGATCGAAGAGAACAGATAGATGAATATGTTGAATTTAAAAT